GATAAAGATGACGACAGCGTACTGTTGTGTGATACTTGTGATGCTGAGTATCATACTTACTGTTTGAATCCTCCTCTTGCAAGGATCCCGGAGGGAAACTGGTATTGCCCCTCTTGTGTTGTTTCTAAACAAATTGTTCAAGATGCATCGCAAAATCGTCATGTCATTAGAAGACGATGTAAAAATTACCAGGGAGAAGCTATGCGAGTTTTCTTGGAGACACTTGCACATTTAGCAGCAAAAATGGAAGAGAGCGAGTATTGGGATATCAACGTGGACGAGGTTTGCATATTGATGCCTTCATGCATAATTTTTCAAGTCTCACTAGCAAGATGGCTGATCACAAGTGATTGCATTGTCTTATTGGTCCAGCCAAATTTTTTGTGGATTTGGCAGTCCATTCAAAATCACCCTATTTGTGCTTCAAGTAAAGCTTTATTTCAGACAATGTAGTCGTCCATTTCCTTGCCTCTCTTTGCATTCGTATAGGCTGACTTTTTCTGGTTGTTGAAATAGTGGCTGTGCTATTGGATTTTGTGTTTTTATGTTATTGTTATCGCTTATTGTATAGCTAACAAGTGGACCACCGAATTTTGTGCTTTTGTGATGGTGAATTATTGTCATTTTAATCATTGTTTATAAACTTAACAGCTTTCCCTTTGATTACGCTTGCAGAGAACATTCCTGCTGAAGTTCTTATGTGATGAGTTGCTTAATTCAGCAGTTATCCGTCAACACCTTGAGTATTGTTCCGAGACATCGACTGAGTTGCAGCAGAAATTGCGTTCTTTATCTGTAGAATGGAAGGTCCTCAGGTCCAGACAAGAAATTTTGGTTTCAAGAGCTGCAAAGGTTGATGCTAGTGCCGGTATAAGGGAAGGGCTTTCGGCTTCAGTTGAAACCAATGAAAGATGTCTTCGTCAATCACAGGCTTTGAGTGGCAGGTCTAACTCCTTAAATGCAGTCTCTGATGATTCGGCACTAGAGGGTGCTCAAGGGATTGATAAATACCCATCTGTCAGTAATGCAGAATGCCAACATATTGTAGACACTGAATTTAGGGAAAAAGATGTCCATGCTGCTTCAGATGACATCTCTGCACCTGGGAAGTTTTCTTCAAATATGGCTTCTGATAAAAGCGAAATATCCTCTAGACAAATCGAGTTACCTTCGTCAAATTGTTTGCCACATGAAATCAATGGGTGTAGTAAAGAAGTCGGTTGTGTTGGTCATCCACAAGATGATGTTGAAATGGATGTTTCTCTGCCTTTAGATCAGAAAGGACTTAGTATCCCTTCAGATGTGAGGAGTAATCGTGTGGGAGAGCAGATGTCACCTTCTTCTGTGAATGAATCACAATCCTACCACCTTGAGTTGAACTCTGTCAAAAATGATTTATCCCTTTTGGAGGATTCGATTGCCAGTACAGAATTCGAGCTTCTAAAGGTGTCGGTTCGGAGAGAGTTCCTAGGAATTGATTCCCTGGGTGGTTTATACTGGGCTTCAGCTCTTCCGGGCGGACATGGTCAGATTACTGTAGATCGAAGTGTGTCATTGAAGCATGGTATAAATGTGAAAGATTGCAGAGACTCTGTGTGGAGTTCTGTTGCACAGAGTTGTGGTCCATCTGGTATGGGTAGCTTGCCGTTAGAGGGGTCCAAAGTTGGCTGTCCGTATTTATTTGAACCAAACAACAGCATTTCGTTTAGTGCACCTTGGGTTTCTTATCAAACTGATGCAGAAATTGAAGAACTTATAGGTTGGTTAAAGAACAAGCACCCTAAGGAAAGAGAGCTGAGGGACTCGATTCTGCACTGGAAAAGGTCAAGATTCCGAAAGTTTCAGAAAATTAGAAGCCAAGGACAGGATGAGCTCCTAACTGCTATTTCAGTGACTAGAAATGCTGATAAAACTGAAATTTCTGATTGTCTTGGTACTAGGGCAGCCACTTTGCTGGAGGAGCTGTATGGTCCATGCTCCGAGATGGAAACCGCCGACATCTCCAAAAAGTGGGGAAAGAGAGCTAGAGTAACCAATGATGAGAAAGGGTACCGGTGTGAATGTTTGGAACCCATTTGGCCCAGTAGACACCATTGCCTCTCTTGCCACAGAACCTTCTTCACGGATGCTGAAATTGAAGGGCACGATGATGGTAGGTGCATTCCAGCTTCAGCAGCCTGTGAGAAGGGAAAGGAAATATGTGATTCTTCTAAAGTTAAGGGGAGTATGAAATGTGAGATGAATCAGGAAGAGCGCAGAAGTGAACTGAACAGTGTTGAAACTTCCAAAGGTGCATGTCCTGAGCTTAGTGCGAAGTTGATTAAGTTTCAAAACGGAATGTTAGGTTGCCCATATGACTTTGAAGAGATCTGTTCCAAGTTTGTGACCAATGATTCAAACAAGGATTTGATACAGGAAATAGGTCTTATAGGTTCAGAAGGAGTTCCATCGTTTGCCCCACCTTCTCCTTATCTGAGTGATTCTACGCTAGCGATACTATCTCAGAAAGATGTCAGTGCACCTGGTCATGGACTGGAGGCGGCTGAACAGCTAGTTTCACAAGGAAAGACTAATGTTGATATTGCATGCAGTAGCAATCTATCCAGGACAGGTGATGGAATGATGTTGCTAAATGCTAACAAACTACCTTTGGGATTTCTGGAACGAGGGAAGAAAAGACATTCAAATAGCCATTCTTCTGTTGTGGGGGCTGGTCGTTTCTGTGTGGTCCCCCAATCTTCTTTGAGGCCCTTGGTTGGCAAAGTTTGTCAAATTTATAGGAGACTCAAGATCAATCTGCTTGATATCGATGCCGCACTCCCTGAAGAAGCTCTAAGACCATCAAGGGCACAATTGGAAAGGAGATGGGCCTGGCGTGTGTTTGTTAAATCAGCCGTGACAATATATGAAGTTAGTATTAATTCCCTTTGTTACTTATTTGAACAGTACTTTCATAATCTTTCTCATTCTAGTGAATACGTTTGGGCATCTTGCATTAACCATCTATTAGCTAAGTAACTAGCTTTGTTTATTTGAGGTTGCTAGTTCTGTTACTTATTTAGTTATGTGGTGGAGTATTCTTAGGCCCTCTGAAAGAATGTTGTAACATACATCAAGGGTTATGTTGCAAAATGTGACGTTGCTACACTTATTTATTTAATATATACGATTCTCTGTCAATTTCTTGGCATGACGCAAATAACATGCTTGGTTTTTTCAGATGGTCCAGGCGATGATTGTGCTGGAGGACATGATAAAGACTGAGTATCTAAGGAATGAGTGGTGGTATTGGTCATCATTTTCAGCTGCTGCCAAAATTTCTACTATGTCTGCACTTGCCCTGCGTATATACTCCCTTGATGCTGCTATCCTGTATGAGAAGATGTATCCTAGTTCAGATCTCACCGACAAGTTGGAGCCCAGCAGCGCACTGGACCTGAAGCTGCTTCCGGTTTTGGATTCAGCAGAAAAAACAAGGTTAACTAGGAAATCTAACAAGAAAAGAAAGGATACAGAGGGTTGATCTTTTGAAGTGTGATTCTGAGTTTGTGGAGATTAATCCGGACAGGGTTGTTCTCGGTGGACGTGAAGCAGCAGTGGGTGGTAGTGAAAATGACTGTCGCACCACATTTTGGGTGGCATTGGACCAGAACAAACCAGACAACTAGTTTGGCTAATTGAAGGTGGTCACTGCTGCTGCTGCTGAAGTGTTGATCTGTACATAAAAAGTAAAGCTTACATGCTAACTTGGATGCGGAGTATGAAAGCAGTGTTTGTACATTATCTGCTTAGAGGATTCGAGTACCCAGACAAATTTGATATGTGCAGATCGATCGAATTTTGCAAGGTTTTCTGCTGCAGCTTTCAGAATTGTTGCTTGGAAAGGGAGAAAAGGAATCAACTGGCGAAAAGAGCGAGACCAATATATAGGTATAGTGGGAAGTCGGAGCTTGGTGTAAAAAGACAGAAAAAACAAAAAAGAAAAAAAAAAATGGCAAATGTTGAGCTGTTGAGCTAGGCAGGTTTTTAGTCAATATTTTCATTCTTTATACCTCTCTCTCTCTCTCTCTCTCTCTCTCTCTCTCTCTCTCTCTCTCTCTCACACACACACACACACGCGCGCGCGCGCGCGCGCATAAAATGGCAGTTCTGGACGTATTTGTGGCTGATGAATCTCTGGGTCTCACTGTTTTACTTGGTGAGGACTCGGGTGTTGCCATTGGCACTCGTTTCGCATGTGATATACTTAGGTTATTGGTTCTCGGTGCTTTGCCAGCCAACCAATTTTCTATTCAGGTAGTCTGCAGACGCTGCACTCTGTTGCCAGCCTTCCCGTTGTAGCCGATAACAGGTAATAGAAGTGCATTGTTTGTCAAGTATCATGACGTGCAGTTTTTCGTGGGAAGAATTATATGGTTGCTTAGAATTGCTCAGCTTCTGGTTGGATCATTGGCAATGTTGTCTGTGACTTAGGTAAGGTACATAGGACCAAAAAAGCTAGGTTTGTGAGCTTCTTTGAGCATCATTGTGCTTTACACACCGGTCGGTTGGAGCTTTTGTTCAACCGACCGGATGTTTCTTTTCGCTTGATTGAGTACGTGTTGTGTCGTTCGGAATTCGTTTCCTCTCTAGCCTTGGCGATGACCGGTGCAGCGTGCTAGTCTTTCTTTGTTCTCTCTATATAGCAGATGATTTTGTATATGTAAGTTGATTCCGGTTTGGGTTCATCCTACATGGGATTGGCTAGACTAGCTGATACGTTTTGGAGGTTGGTCGCCTCTGAGAAAATGGTCCTTGAGATAGACATACTTTGCGTCACGATGGTCTCAAATGTGTTCTAAGTTTGTGGTTTATCCCATTGAAGAACTCGGGATTGTTCCGATTTAGTAGCCATAATCGGAAACCAACCCTTCTCTTTCGCGGCCAAGCTACCGGCAGTAGATCCGTAACTAGAGAATGACGAGAGCGTAGTAGGACCATAGAAGAGAATTATATTGACATATTTGCCCTCAATATAACGTCGTTGAGGAAAACACTTTATTTATGAACGAACACTTTCAGGGGGCAATAGTGTAATTAAGCGTAGCTATAATATGTTTATCGACCCACACAGCAACGCCATACATGCAACCATCTTAAGCAAATAGGTAGTACACTTCAATTTAGGGCGACTAGGACCACACCCACCACCCCAAAGAAACACCCTCCTCCTGTGCTGCTTGCTGCTCCGCCACTGCAGCTGCAAAGACATCGGAGAAGTAACCCTGGCCGTCATCGCTACCATCATCTTCTTCTGAGTGGACTCCGCTGTGATGATGTTCTACATGATCATGTGGCGCCACATATTGATGATGATGATGATGGGTATCATGATCATGAGGATAGTCGTTATGGATGTTGTTTGGGAAATTATACGAGTCACCGCTGTCCACAGGCCGAGGGCCTTCGGCCTCGTCCACCACGGCACTTCCTCCGCTCCCTGAGCTCAGGCGGTCCTCCGCCTTGATGGTGCAACTGTGCTGGAGACTAGTTATTGGAACAACCTCCGTCATCTGATCACCGGCTGGAAGAAGAGGGCCACGCTTCTCGTCATCGTGGTCATCCCCTGCAAATGTTGCTGGTTTTGTGCTATTAGCCTCCTCTTTACCTCCAAGCTTCTCGTTTATGGAAACCATCTGTATTTATTTAATATATTTAATCAATTCCAAATAATTTTATAGTAATCAAGTCATATAAACGACTCTGTGCCGCTTCTAAGAAACATTCCCACTTCGATTTGGGAGCTACTTTACAAATATTGTTTAAAGGGAAAGTATATGGAAAATGATCTAGTGGAAAGAGTTCACAGCTGGTGTAACGTTTGCGGCTATTCGTATAAAGTCACGTATACATAATTTTGTACTTGTAGTTTGAAAAATTACCGTAACAATAAACTTGTTTCATTGAAAGCATGTCTCAAAAAAAAATACTAAATAACGAATAATGATGAAATGTCCACTCACCATTTTATATAATGCATCTTTTTATATATAACTTGGGAAACAAATACCATAGTATATTCGATCTGTGACTCTGAAAGTGGCCTTTTATTTTTATATTCACAGTGGGGTTTGAAACAGATGATATATTGGATGGAAGGGTGTATATTATTTTCGAATCTGATATGTATGGACCACAGCAAATTTCATTTGTTTTAGCTTAGCGCATGTTCTCCTTTTCAGTTTGTCGGAAACATTGTCCGATATACTAAGTATTATAATACAAGTAGTTGAAAACTTTTATTTTAAGCATTCAACCACTTTTATTATTGACAATTAGTGTATCGAGCTGTATTCTCAGTATAGTAAAAAAATCTCTCTACTAAAAGAATACAATACATAATTGTTGGAACAATAAAATAATATATTATTATCAATCTTATAAGATAGCTATTAAATTGCACAATAAATATTTTGAAGTACTAAAAATAATTTTCTTTCAAATAATATCAACTTCGAAAGTATTTTAAAAATATTGAATATTTTGGGAATGAACTCAGAACTATGATTACCTCGGATTTGAGCTTCTGATTCTCCTTGAGGATGGAGTCGTAATTATACAAAAGGGTGTCATAAGAAGATTTGAGAAGGTCGTAGTCCCGCTCGAGCTGCTTGGTCTTCCAGCGAGCGCGGCGGTTTTGGAACCAGACGGCCACCTGTCTCGGCTGCAGGCCTAGCTTCTTGGCCAGCTGCGTCTTCCGCTCCGGCTCCAGCTTGTTCTCTGTCTCAAAGCTCTTCTCCAGCATATGCACCTACACATTTTGATTAAAAAGAATCAATACTCTGTGATCTCGTAACAGTGACATGATCAATTTGCAGCCATCAGATTGGTCTTATTACTATGATCATATTCATATCTGATGATTTGATTGCATGTTACTATAATAAAGTCACAGAAGAGAACAAAGTTGAGATAGATCAGATACCATCTAATGAATCGATGCTGATAAGATGAATATGCCAGCATCAGAATATATAAATATATATATATATATATATACACACACACATGAATATGCCAGCATCAGAATATATAAATATATATATACACCTATATATATATATATGTCTGTGTGTTATGGTCACCATCCATTCAAAAGCGAATAATATTTTGCATATTTGAGCCAAAATGAGCATATCCAAATATTTAGGGTTTGTTTGAGGAAAAAAAAATATATTTATTGTTTGTTTGATAACTATTCCATTTTTAATTTTCAGTTTTTAGTTTTCACCTTTTTAAAATAATAAAATCATGTTCGGTAACTATTTTATCAAAGATGCGAAAACGAAAAAGTAGTTTTTAGTTTTGGGTTTTTTGAAAACTAAAAATTTGAAAGTAGTTACCAAACAAGATTTCAGTTTCAGATTTCAAAAAAGTGCAGAAACAAAATGATTATCAAAAGGCGTCTAGCTTATTTAACGTTGAAAGCAACTTATAGATATGAAAGAGAGGTAGATGTGAGTTAGTTCAAGGATAGTGCTATTCACACATCCATTTTTACCTTCCACATATCTTTATTAATTTTTGGTCGTTGATCTTTCTTCAATTCATTCGATCCGACAACCGAAAATTGAGAAGAATGTGTAAAAAGTAAAAAAAGGTGTGTGGATAATGTTATCCTAGTTTATCTAACTCAAATAAGTTCAAATCAAGTTCATGTAGATTAGACTATACTAGTGAAAAACACACTGATAGCCACAGATAACCCTAGCTGTTGTTCTGGTGACACAACGGGTGTCAGTCACGACAAATCGTTCTTGTGTACTACTTTCACCGGACTTTTTACAGTTATTTGTGGGTTTCTACTGTTTGTAGAAAGACGAGTGACATGTACAAACCTGGTCAGGAGTGAGGCGGCGCTTCTTCTCCGGCAGCTGCTCGTCGTAGTATTCCTCGTCGAACAGTTCGTCCTGCGACGAGGAGGAGCTGAAAAAAGGTCGCCTCCTCGAGCTCTCCTGATCCATCAAACCCATCATGGATCTTGGCCCTTCATTATGAACAATCAAAATCCATAAACATTAGTACTAATCAATCAATAATCAGCTACCATATGTAATTAACAAAGTGAAAATTTAACCAAGTAATCACCTCGAAAAACGTGATCAGGATTCCCGAGGAACAACATGTTGCCACCACCACCTTGCTGGCAAACCGCCGACGGCGAAGGGTCAAAGAAAAGACGCCCCGGCTCCATCATCTTTTCCGGCTAAACAATTGATCTCTTGATCTTCCTCTGTGAACTCCAAGCGCTGGCGGGAAGGGGTGGCGCGTGAGATGTCCGCCGTTGATGCTTGCTTATAGAGTGAATATTAATATGTACTTTGTTTTAAGGGGGTGTGGAACTAATTAGAAAATCATAATCTTGTGGCGGAAAAAACTGGTGCTCCAAAGAAACCTCGCTGGAACCTCCAAAGGACATATACAAAATCCCATCACACCACCACCGATTTTTTCCAGGTTGCCCGAACAACCGTTATGGCGGAGAGATATAGTAATATTGAAGCTTTATGTAAGACGGGTTCAATAGTAAAGAGAACTAGTCTAACGCTCCAAAACCTCCATGGAAATTGAGAGGGAAAGGTCGCCGGAGCTTAAACAAGAGTTCGCCGGAGAAGGAGGATAGGATTTTCAGAAGGTGGTGGTGGAATTGGGATATCGTGATCAGTGTGTCGCCTCTAGGTGTTTTTTGCAACTAAACTTGAAAGAGGTGACTCTAGCTCGTTTTATATCCATCGCATGCTTGTGCAATGTCGAAAATGCCCTTTGAAATTGACTTCAGTGGCATTTTTTCATGGGTTGTTTGAGTATTTTTAGTAATTGTCGGACTTGAGTGCATACTGCATGTGGAAGGTGCTTACGAGACGCTAAAGGGAAACATTAGCCACAGGCGAGCGGAGTTGGTGTGGAAAACCATTTGCCACAATTCCATTTTCTTTGTGTTACTAAATATATTTAATTTATTAATTTTTTGACACAAAATTGAGTGTAAAGGCTCGTTTGAAAGTATATTTTTTTTTTAACAAAAAAAAAATGTTTTTAAAATAACTGAAAGCTTTTATTTATTAAATTAATTTTGAGTTTCAAAAGCACTTTAATTACTTTTTAGAAGAAGCATCAAATATGTCCTTCTTGCAAGAAACACTTAAAGTGCTTTTCTATAATCGACTTGGATTTTTACTAAGGATTGGTTTCAAAATCATTTTCACGAAAAGTTTTTCAATCATTTTAAGTGTACTTACAAAATGCACCATAAATTAATTGGAGTGATATAATTTTATTTTTGCATCTAATAAAATCTTATTTTATGTAATTTAAACTAGATTATAATATTCTTTAGAAAAATAAAATTAAAAAAAAATAGTAACTTCGACTCTTGTTTCCATTAATTAAAAATGAAAAAGAAAGTTGCCTAAAAATTAATTTTTTTTATTTTCAAACAAATTTCACTTAAAAAAGCTTTGAAATACATTTTCTAAAGTACTAATAACAGCATCCAATAATAAAAATGAAAAAAATGAATTATATAATTTTTTGTTTAATTACATGACAAAGTGTCTATTTCAGCTTCGTCACATCTAACAAATTACGAAAGCTTTATTTATTTTTGAATATTTTGAAAAGAATAATAACATTAAAAAAAATTAAAATTTTCTTGACCAAAACCAAAATTTTAAAATTTTAAATATTTTGTCTTTATGCATCAAGGGACGGGCCCACTGCACAGTTGTTCATGTGGGATGGGCCGTGGGGTATGCGGGTTTTTGAGGCTTATGGTGGTGCGAGTGCCAGGCAATATCAAGCATTAAATAGGCATCATGCTTGGTGGTCGGGGGATTGTCTAATCCCCATCACCCCAATTTTGCGTTCCGATAAACGGTTCTGATTCTCTCCTTTTTTTTAGAGCCATTTTGGACCCGGCCAGCTCCATCCGTGTCTCTCTCTTTCTCCATCAATTTTTTTTTGAGTAGGATTCTCTCTTCTTCTATTTTCATCTCCTTCCTTCCCATCTTTTCAAGATATTAATGTAGTTAAACCGTAACCGTTCAAATAAGAGGGGAGATAATGAGAGAAATATTAAGAGAGTAGAGAATCATCTTTTTTTTTTTTTTTAATCTTCTAAAACTCAATTGCTAATGGAGAATCTCAGCATCCTTTTTATTTATTTATTTATTTATTAAGGAATCAACGAGCTTTGCTATGATAATCCATTTCACTGAGACCTTTCAGCCTTCAATTCCGCAACATCGTGTAATTCTCTAGCGCAAAAAATTGAACCCAAGATACACCAAGTGAAATTCGAGTCTGGAATTCATCTCTAACTACTAAGCCACCCGGTGATGATTTCTCAACATTTTTTTTTTCATTTGGTAGAAGAAAGTGATTTTTGCACTCATTTTTTAAATTTTTTTTGTAATTTCTAACCTGAAAATAACAAATTGATAACGAATGGGCAAAAATAAATACTATATTGCATACTCTATGCCTATAAACCCTGCAGGTTACAGATTTCATTAAGAAGACATTAACAAACTATTGACAAAGTATGTTCACATGATACAACAAGGATCACAACTCAGATTAAAACCTTTTAAAACCTAGTGTTTGATTTGTTTTTTAAGTTTTCTTCTTGTTGTTCTTGCCTAAACCATAGCAAAGTACTTGCTTAAATATTCCTTTTGCTAAGCAGCTGTAAGCCTATAACCAATTCCCTAAACAAATCCAAAACAGAAGAAACAAAAAAGGAGTCGCCTCGATTAAATTAAATTCAAATGGTGGGGTTACTTTTCATTTCCTTTCATTTCATTTCCAATATTTAACACAACTTGGAATTCTCGAGACTTAAGGAGATAAACTTCGGTAAAATTGATTGATTCGGCAACATTTATATTGAAAAATTATCATGGTGTTAAATAAAACTAAAATACATAGAATCATAATTTCTTTGTAATTTTTTTTATTATAAATGATAAAATCGACATCCCTACATAAGTCTGGGGAGATTTCTTCCACGACTTGTTAATTCGATGTAAAATGATACAATTATAGGTTTCGAGTCAACCTATTAACGAGTCAGGTTGTTATTGGGTCACCCGTTAAGGACTCGATAAAATATAGTTTGACAGATTTAGGCATGACAAATTTTTGCATGAATCGTTAACCCGATAAAGAACAACCTAACCCATTAACGAACCAGATTGTTATCAGGTCATCTGTTAAGAACTTATTAAATAACAAATTTAACACAACACGATCCGTTAAAATAATAAATATGACACGAATAAATAATCTGTTTACCATTCCTACCCTTACTTAAATTTTTCTCGGAAGACTTATCTACTATTTCCCTATTTGAGTGACGCACAAGATCATATTTTAGTGCTTATAGCAATATTGTGCCACGCATTTAATAATGCAGTTGAATATGATGTTTTCAATGGTTCATTGAATAGTGCCACAGTGTTACACCTCTAGTACTCGAATTCAACTTCAATATTTATTATTTTCTAGTTCAATACTTTTAATTAAATATAAGAAAGAATAAAACTTAATTAATCAAGGGAATGGAGGGATGAAATGTATTTGTCATGTGGTTTGCATCAAACTTAGTTAATTAACGGAATAAATCCGTGGTATCACTTGTTTATATATTTTTTGGTATATTTTTATGAGACCCACTTTATAATTATTTCAACAATTCAAACTGTTTATCTTTAGATCTTTGCTCAAAAATCATTTCTACCAAAAATTATTAAAATCTGAAGCCATATGACCATTGAATTAAGGGTTTAGGTTTCTTTATAGAACTGTATTCGTCTATTTTCTTTACAACAATGAAAGCTTTAATGATTTTGAATTTATCTAAATTTTGCAAGAATAATCTATGAATGATGTTCTAAAAAATAGACGGTTCAAATCGTTAAATATGTTACAGAATAAGTCCACGGAAACGTATCTTAAAATTTATGTAAAAAAAAAATAATACCATGTAGCAATGCATAATTAATTAAATTAAGAGAAATTTGAAATAGGTCCAATTTTATAGACTAACTTTTGAAAGAGGTCAAATTTTTAATGACTTTTGACTTTTAAAATAGGTTTAATTTTTAGTTACTTTTGATCCATATCAAAAAACCTCGTTAATTAATTGCATATGATGTATCGTTGTAGCAACTGCAACTGGAGGAGAACCACGTAGTCATGGGCCCCCGAGAGAATCAAAGCTTTTCCTTTTGTAGTGGAAGATAAAGGAAAAAAAGATCGAGCTGGCTAAGCTGGAAAAAGCAACACAAAACATAAGAAACTTTTATATTATTTTCTTCTTCTTTTTAAGTAAATAATTTCAGTCCACTAATTTGAAAGGTGTTGAGACATATTTTCAATAGGATGTTGCATACTTAGCTAGTTTTCTGTTTTTGTCCCAAATAAGAATTTGTATCAACCTTTGCACATGAAGACCTTTTGACAAATAGTCAATGCTTTGTTATAATTTTTCTTATAAACGATATCACTAATCTAAATTAGACTACGAAGAAAAGGAGAATGTTTGAACTGATCAGCATGTCAAGGGTTAAAGAGGAAGACTTTATTCAACAACAACAACAACAACCAAATCTTATCTTACTAAGTGGGGTCGGTTATATGAATTATAGAATATTATTGCGTACGATTTTGTGCTAAGCATTATGTTAGCTCCAAGTATTCCATATATTTTTTATAGTCTCGTCAAACTCTTTTTAAGTCTTCCTTTACCCCTTTTGCCCAAAGTCTTCATCTTATAGTTGAATCCCCCTAACACAATTCACCATTTCCTTTATGTCAACCCCTCATTGGTGGCCTAGCTAAGAAGAAAACCAAATATATATATATATATATATATATATATATTTATACAACATTGACTTAAGCTATATAGATCAAAGCATGTGACGTGTCATGAGAAAATGATGGAGGTGCACATGTGTAAGCATCTTAAATTTGTCTTAGAAAATAAGCAATATAATAGTAATGAAATGGAAAAAGTTAAAATGTTCAAGCAATACAACTGAAAAAATACATACCGAATCTTATAAGCATCATAGGGATTTAATTCACATAAAAAATTATTTTATTTTATTTTTGATAAATTTAGATTAAATGAATGTCCACTTTCCATGTGCTGGCCAGTTGTGTACCATTGGCTTTGATCTTTAATGTGGAAATATAAGGAGATCTCAAGCTAACAAGGCTTCTCATTTTGTGATGACGTTGAATGGGAGGGAGGAGGAGAATGTCTATTGTACAATCTTATTCTTACTTTGTAAAAAGATTGTTTCCACGACACGAATCCGTGACTTTTCGATCACAAAGGAGGAACATTTATGTCACGAAAATGTTATTTCTAACGTGGGTATATATGTAGTAAACTCCCGTGCGCTTAATAATTAAAAAAAAAAGGAAAAAAAGAATCAAATTAAACAATACAAATTAAAATAAACAGTTTCCCCATCCTAAGAAGGAATGAGATTCACTTCTCCCCAGAAGATAACAAGTCGTGAGAATCTGTTTCTTTAGGCAAGAAAGATGGTAAACAACTAAACATTTTAGCGTACAATTTCGTCATCTTCATCTACATGAAAATATAATAAATAAACAAATAAAGAAGTACAATTTTGTCAATCTTTTATTCTCTTCAATCTATACCAGCAATTAGGGTTTCTGAGTCAGTAATGGAATCAGGGAAACAGCCCATCATCGATCACTTTTTCTCCTTTTTAAATGGACTGAGCTTCCGCCGACAAGCACATTGTGTATATAACGTGTCTATCTCTTTTTAAGATTAGGTGCACATATTCTTCACCTTTGTTTTAGGGGAGAATACTTTCACGTTGCAGTGTAGCTATTTTTTTTTTTTTTTGCGTGAGATAAGAAAAGATACTAACATTGGAACTAAGAAGTTAATTCTCTTCTATATATTTCATATCATATATACATCACAGTCTTGCTCTTGAACTTTGTTTAGTCATGAAGAATCAAGATCAAGTTGGATATATATATATATATATATATTTAATAACTCACATATATTATATGAGTTTGATACACTAAAGATAACTATGCATCATCTATTAAAATGAAGAAATTTTCAGTGTGTTTGGAACATGGGGCAATACACCACACATTACTATTCAATTAGAAGAAAGTTTTGACATGTGGTGTTCTATTATTTGACCCAGGTATACTGAAAAGTTTATTGTTAAAAAGACGACTAACTATATATATAACCATTGTGCTTAAGAGACTTTGTCCGTGAAGTTAGTATAAGTAGGTTCATTTTTTAGGATTAATGTAGAGTATATACCAAGTAGCACCATTATTTATCATATTCAACCTCCCACGTTATTAAAAAAAGTATCAATTCTCTCTCTCTCTCTCTCTCTCTTTCTCTCTCTCTCTCTCTCTCACTGCTTCATGCAAGGGCCAAGGGGGGAGTGTTGGGTGGATTGCTTTTGTTGTCCAGTTACTTCAGTGGTAAGGTAAGAAACTAAATGGGAGGGTATCTTTTCCTAGAAGTGGATTGGAACTTTAAGGGAGGAGGTCCAATTGTCCTAAAGTGCTATGATTTACTATACTTAGCTTTAAACCCTTTAGCCAAAAGTGGGATCGATCCATTGGAATGAAATGCTGACATGGGGGGAACTAACCCATATGATATGAGAGAGAGAGAGAGAGAGAGAGAGAGAGAGAGAGAGAGAGAGAGAGAGAGAGGGAGAGAAGGTGGAAAGCTACGAATTCAAAAAGGAGGAGGGCACCAGACACCTGAGAAGGAGCAATGCCTTTAAGATATGTTTCTGTGTGTGTATGGTCTCTCTCTCTCTCTCTCTCTCTCTCTCTCTCCAAACGCAACTACATTTCACATCCATTTCACCTATCAAGTCAAATGCCTTTGTCTTTGCCATCGGTGGCTTTGGCTGATCGCGGAGAGAATTTGTTTTGTAATTGGATATATGTATACACTTTTGTTTATGTTTTACTTATCACATAGTCAGATAGAAACAAAAATATATACAACTTGAGGACACCACATATTCTCTTCTTTGGGGAGCCGGGTAAACTTCTATGTCGCACAGGTTATTTACGTGATAAGAGGTGCAAACATGCGTGTGGATATATTAAACTAATTAATTAATAGCAAGGCTGGTGGAGCTTGGTTCATCTAGCACTTATTATATCCCTAAACACTTTCTAACCACATGATTTAATATATTAATAGATTCATCATCATGATTTCTTACAAACCAATACTACTGGAATTCAGCTATTATGCATCTGTGAGCAGTCTTACTTTAAGGAGCTGCGGGTACCCTCTAATTGATGGACTTGTAAAGGCCCACAAAATCCAACCAGCAGTCTTACTTTTGCTGGCCTGAAGTTTGCATCTGTCCAATAGACCCGCCCACGATGCCACAAAACTCTGGGAATGTTGAAAGGGGAGCACTGTCGGGCTCGGAGCCAGCATCTGTGATCTGCCCAGTGTAGGCAATATGTATAAACGCATTGAAGCTTACGGCATAAAGCACGTAGTGTTACACTATCGCGGTTTAAAACGTTGATTCGTACTTAACCACACTATCGCATTTTAGCACCCCACATTGATGCAATTCTGGTTCCGCCACTGAAAGGGACAGCATTTTTATTCTCTTCAAGTTATAGCAGCAATAAGATCCAATTGTCCCACTGTATTTCATTCATGCACGACTCTGCGTTAGTCTCATTCTATATTGGTTAGACAGCCTTGTCGAAGTTTCTCACTATAAGAACATGGTGACCCAAATTACAATCATGTCCCAATTTGTGCCTGCTTAGATTTATTCAATTAGTCGCCAATAGTTGATGAATCTATCTATAACGGTTGAAGCGTTTTAACAGTTGATCTAACAGTTTTTGGACAGATTATTGAGTTTAATTACTTACTAAGATTGTTTACTTTAATTGATAGGTGACTCAAGTTCGAGAATTTTTTCGAGTGTGCTCGGAACATGAGGCGGTACACCACATGTCATTATACAATTGGAGGAAAGTTTTTTTTTTTTTTTTCAAGTATCCTTCCAATTGTATAATAATATGTCGTGTACCACCTGTGTTCCGAACACACTAAAGAATCTCTCCCAAGTTCAATCCCAAAGGTGCATTTGTTGTATTTTGTATTTTAAGCATCATTAGCCACTAGTGTGCCTTTTACTCACCTCATTAGTCACAGAAGTCTTTTACTCATCCTATTTTATATACTCTTAATATAAATTGAGTAATTGTCCGTTTTGCTTGTAGTGAATGTAACAGAAACCCGTAATCGAAATGCTCTTTTAAACTTTGGGAGTGTCCAAATCGATTGTCTAAATCTATAAACCCCAAAATGGATATAGCACTTGACTTTCCGTCCATATATCACCATCTTTAGGGTTTGCTTATTGCGCAAAAACAGATGGACAAATCACGTAAATGTATCACTCTTAGGGTAACATGATCAACTATAACTAGTGTTTAAAATATTCACGAAATTGTCGATATTTTCATAAAAATATTTAAAAATTAAGGATCAATATGGAAACGGAGGTAAAATGCAAACTTCACCCTATAACAAGCAAAATATAGGAAAATCGATAAGTATCGACTATATTTAATGATTCACTATAGAAGTTTTACAGGAATCCAGATTTCAAACTTTTGAGATTTTGTTTAAGAAACTTTTCCTTAATTGGGATTAAATCTGAGTGAGTTGATAACCCACTTCATTGCAAATTGACCATAATTTCGTCGAAGGCAACCAATATTGATATTGATGATATCCATCAGTATTTCCATACATTTGTATATTGATATTTCTACTTATATCGATATCTTAAACATTGAGTTCAAATACTTAGCCTTTCCCTGGCGATAATAATATATACATGAGCATAATCTACTACTCATGACCAAAAACATACATATTAAAGTTCATATAACCTCTGGCTAACTTCAAAATAACTTGCGCTAGAAGAAATAGAATTCAACTTCCAATGAAATTTATATTCCTTATTTCAATCGACCTAGGATTCTGTCTTACACCTAGCCCTTCTGCCCTAGAAAAAACTTTTATACAATTCAAATTAGAATTATAATTTCTTGTGTGCTTCAACTTACTCACATAATATCGGAATTGAATTATGATTCTGTAACATTGACGTCCATTTAAGTTCTTCTCTATTGTACACAAAGTCTTATATAATCCTATCCAATATGGATATAATCTAAATTAGTGTCATCCATGCGTAATTAACACAATCGTAATTGGGTTTAGGCTGTTAATTAGGATTAACAGAAACTAACTCCATGTACAATTTATGTACGTTGCTAATTGGTTGACAGATAAAAGCCACCGGATAAATAGGCAACACGTGTATGGCGCCTCCAATCCAAAACGATGGCAGAGTAAGTAATTAACTCGGAAACAAAGACCCATTTCCGTAACCCTCGTAACCACCTGAAACAGTAGAGAGCTCGGATTCCATGCAGCACTCATGCACGCCAAAAACCACACCGCGCCGCTTCGCCGCGCCATTTCCTTGCGCCCCAAACAACAAAATCGACGGCCCAGATCGAATCGTAACCCGGTTCCTGATCATCCGGACAGAGTCCGATACACGAGCAAGTTCGTCCCGCCTCCGGAAATCTGTAAAATCCGAGATAAATGCGAAAAATAAAAATAAAAATAATCCAGAAAATAAATAAAATGGAAATTCAATTGTACAAGGATTCGAATTACTCGCCAGCTTCTGCCTCTATAAATATCAGCCGTCCGTTCTCTCAAAATCTCACACACCCTCTCTCTCTCTCTCTCTCTCTCTCTCTCTCTAGATTTTCTGATTCTCTCTCTAGCTTTCTCTCTCTAGCTCTGCAAAGATGGTGAGCGCTGAAGCAGCAAGAAACGTCGTAGGCATTATCGGTACGTGCGCTCCGTACAGTATAAAAACCCTTTGATTTCTTCCGTCACGCTCTTCCCCTTCTAGCTATAGCTATGTTGCTGATGCTTCGATTTTGTGGATTTTTGTTGTTGTTGGTTTGTGGTTTTTCTTAATTTTCTGATCGTAATGTAATTAGTTTGTAAATCAGAGAGATAATGATGATTAATTAGCGTTCTGATTTTTGGTCTTTGATCGTGTGCAGGGAATGTCATCTCCTTCGGGCTTTTTCTCTCCCCTGTGTAATCTCTCTCTCTCTCTCTCTCTAGTTTGTGATGATCTCGATCAATGATGATTTTGCTATTCTTGTTGCGTGAATAATCGATAGTGCGTGATTAGATGAGTTTAAATCGGTCATTAACTAGTGAAATTATGTACTGAACTGAGTTTTCTTTTGGATTTGGGACGTGATGATGACCTTACGATTAATTACTGAACCAGCTTAATTAGTTAATCAGCTAGTTTCTACTTTAATTAATTACTGTTAATTACAGGCATTAAAGTACAAGCATGCTTTCTGAATCTATGAAATATTTGCATGTTTTGTTTAATTAATTTCATCTGAAACATGAGATTTTCTCGTTTGCTTTAATTAAATTAAATTTAATTAATTTACTTTTGTATCTGAAATATGAGATTTTGTGCAAGTATTTAATGAATTTTACTTTACTTTAATTAAATTAAGCTTAAATTTTGTTTGTTCTAAAAAATTCTGATTTAATTAAACATGTATTAATTTTGGGGATACGCAGTCCTACATTTTGGAAAATCATTAAGAAGAAGGACACGGAGGAGTTCAAGCCGGACCCTTACATGGCAACAGTACTGAACTGCTTGTTCTGGATCTTCTACGGCATGCCGTTTGTTCACCCTGACAGCACTCTTGTGGTCACCATTAACGCCGTCGGCCTTGCTCTCGAGCTCATCTACCTCACCATCTTCGTCGTTTATGCTTCGGCCAAAGGAAGGGTACGTAATTAATCAACTAACTACGTACACTCTTAATTTCGCCCCTAATCACATTTTGTTTGTTTGTTAATATTCTTCTGTTTATTGTATCAAATTTTGCAGAAGAAGGTGGGTTTATGGCTTGCAGGTGAAGTAATCTTCTTCGCCGCAGTGGTTCTGATCACTCTGCTATGTGTGCACGGCACCAAGAACAGGTCTATGGTGGTTGGTATCATCTGTGATATTTTCAACATCATTATGTACTCTTCCCCTCTTACTATCATGGTAAGTAATTATCGATTAATCCGCGCTTAGTTCCCTAATTTTTCGGTTGGATTACGTTAAGTTTCTCATGATTTCGTGTTTTCTTTCCGCTAGGCGAAAGTGATCAAGACCAAGAGTGTCGAGTACATGCCGTTTTACCTCTCACTGACCAACTTCCTCAATGGTTTGGTCTGGACCGCTTATGCTCTCATCAAATTTGACATCTACATCCTGGTAATTACTAATTACTAGTTACAAACAACTTTTAACGTACTTTCGCTGCAACCGATTAAGGTTTTACTTCTCGGATTAGCCTTAAACATACTTGCTTAATGTGCATTTTAATTATGTAATGCAGATTAGCAACAGTCTCGGTGCAGTTTCTGGTTTGGTTCAACTCGTTCTTTATGCATGGTACTACAAGTCCACTCCGAAAGACAGTAAGGACGTCGCCGGAAAGCCTACAACAGAAGTGCAGCTCTCTGATCATACAGCTACTGGAGCAGCTAGAGTCTGATGATTTTACTCCGCATCGCCGGATTCCGTTCAAGTTTTTAACTTTTCGTCACCTTCGGTTTAGTTTTGATATGGAAAATTTTTCTAGTACTTTTTAATTTCTCTTGCCGGATTAATTTCGGGTTTTCGAGGATGTAAATATTTCATTTTTGCTAAGCAGTGACGGGTAACTGAAGCACTGCATAGGCAATTTTTTTTTAGGTTTTAGATTTATATATGAGGATTTTAATGGTGAATTTTAGTGACAGTTTATGCTTTAGCAAATGTCTTCATGTGCACCAACTTTTTGTGCTATTTTTTTCTTTGGTTGATGGATCATGGATGGAAAGAGTAGCAATGAAACTCGTCGTTACTCTTTTCGGTCAATCACTATTGTTAAGCCCAAAAGTATTCATCTGCGCCTAAATTCAAGACTCATTTTGTAATGAGTTCGTAGATAGGTCGATTGATAGCATTCACTCTTACACTTTAAGTTTTGAATTTGATTTATCTTTTCCAATCGGTTCTTATATCACCTCTTAAATAATTAATACTCAAACCTTACTCAAGAATGGTAAGTCTTCCATTAAGGAGAGATCATTGTGTTTACACAGCACCAAAATCAAACTTGAGTTTGAGGAGACGAAACACTACCCTAGTCAAAACTCAAGGGGTGCTCTCAACCAATTCAATCAAACTTTGAGTTCTAAAGGTCGAAACACTAGCATGGTCAAAACTAGATAGCGGAAAAACTCGAGAGATATGTTTTCTTGTGGTCAATTCATCACATAACAAACGTTGATTAGACAAATAATTAACTACTTGTACTGTCGATTAGACAAGTAGTTAAATACGTGTACCATTCAAATATTTCCATCCCAAGTGAAAGATCAAAGACTCAAAATCCAAGAGTTGCAAATATCTTATCCAGAGCACGAGGACTGAGGATGATGATGACCTAATCCCCATGTGCCAGGCTGCCATAAATCTCCCATTATTTTGTTATATGAGAGAGAGAGAGAGAGAGAGAGAGAGACCAACAGAGCAGCAAGTCTACAGCAAAACCAACCCCAACTCACCAATCACCTTATCCAACCGACTACCCAATCCCCCTCCATCCCCCTCCTCCTATCTCTCTCAGCCTGCTCATGTCAACCAATTAAAATCCTGCAAATTGCCAAGCTCCGATGGCAGCCCTCCTCTCCTGCCACTACTCTGCTGCTTCTCCAGCTTCCTCCTCCTCCACCAAATTCTTCAGCCGCCTCCGCACTCCCTTCCCAATTTCCCACAACCACCTTGCCACCCGCCGTTCTTCCCCACTCCCTATTCGATGCCAGATCCATAATCAACAGGTGCCATTTTTTGTTTAAATTTTCAGCATTTTTATTCTATCAAATGCTTTAGAAATTAATTTATTTTTACAAATTAGAATGTATGAACTGTATAGAACATTGGGTACTTTGTTAAATTAGAATCTTTTCAGAAAACTGTGACATTTTTCTGCAAAAAAGTTGATTGTGCATAGAACCCATTAGGCATCTTCACTTGTTTAAGCAGAAAGGGAAGATCTTTTGTAGCAAATATTGATTGCACATAGATTTTCACTTGTTTCAGCAGAAAGAGAAGTTATTCTCCATCAAGGAGTGCGCGATTTCAATAGCGTTGGCGGTGGGATTAGTGACAGGAGTTCCTGCATTGGATTGGTGTAGCAATGCCTATGCGGCGGCTAATCCAGTGGTGCCTGATCTGGCTGTACTGATCTCTGGACCGCCGATAAAGGACCCGGGGGCATTGCTGAGGTATGCTCTGCCTATTGATAATAAAGCTATCAGGGAAGTACAGAAACCGCTTGAAGATATCACTGAGAGTCTCAAGGTAGCTGGGGTCAAAGCACTCGATTCCGTTGAAAGGGTAAAATTCATCAAACAATTTCTTTCATTGCCTTCATTGTGTTTATGTATGTGGAATTTGGATGGATGGTGACCGAGACACTGAATTGGGATGCAGAATTTGAGGCAGGCATCTCGAGCGCTGACACAGGGGAAGTCTGTAGTTGTATCTGGATTAGCTGAATCGAAAAAGGAACACGGAGTTGAATTGCTTGCCAAGCTGGAAGCTGGAATGAAGGAGCTTCAGCAGATTGTGGAGGATAGAGATAGAGATGCAGTAGCAGCAAAACAGAAGGAGCTACTTCAATATGTTGGGGGGTGAGTATTTGGTACAAAAATTTACTTGTGACATGGTCAACAATCTTGGCTTTCTAATTTCGTTACACTTAATTGATCAGCATGAAAAATGTAAAACAGAAAACCAAAATGTAGGTTTTTTCTGTTTGAAATAGCCGCAAAAGACTTGCCGTGTTTATGAGCGAGACACTGCCTCATTGTTCCCTTTCCAAAAAAGTATTTTCGGGCTAAATCAGACACCGAAAACTCAGAAAACACCATGCACGCAGGATTACTATTCATGTCGGGATTTGCTGCTTTTATCTGCTCTTCTGGTCCTGTGTCACACCGAGCAATAGAAAGAACATTAGTAAAACCGAGACTGAATCAGCCGGCATTGTTTGCATTCACTATTACAAAAAAAACACTGCCTACGCCCCCTAGTGTAGGTTAGAGCTAGAGCTGAAAAGACATTGAAATGTGCGAGGATTGTCAGTTATAGCATGCGTATCCTCATATATGCGCTTGTCATTGACTGCAGCTGAGATCTTCCTGGGGCATTCGGTTTCTGCAGTGTTGAAGAGGATATGGTGGACGGATTTCCTTACCAGGTGCCTGAAGAATACCAAAGCATGCCTCTGTTGAAGGGGAGAGCGACGGTGGATATGAAGGTCAAGGTTAAGGACAATCCCAGCCTTTCTGATTGTGTCTTCCGTATCGTCCTTGATGGTTACAACGCCCCTGTAACTGCCGGGAACTTTGTAGATTTGGTGGAACGACACTTCTATGACGGCATGGAAATCCAACGAGGTAACATCTCGTAGTAAACATGTACCCTTATGTATTTCAATTTTATGTTTACTAGTCCATCTGAACTCAAGACTTAAAATTTTGACTTGGCTTTGCTTTTTCTTGCAGCGGATGGTTTTGTCGTACAAACTGGTGACCCTGAAGGACCTGCAGAGGGTTTCATAGATCCAGGTACAGAGAAAACCAGGGCAATACCATTAGAAATCACGGTCGAGGGAGAGAAATTACCTTTCTATGGAGAAACCTTGGAAGTAAGCTTCTCACACCTCCCTCCCTCTGTGTTTCTGTTAATTAGTTGCACGTATAATGTATCGACGAAAGAAAGGATAGGAACTTAGTTGCTTATATCGTTTTGACATTGATCACGAAATCCGAATTCTAACAGGAGCTCGGGCTATACAAGGCACAAACAAAGCTTCCGTTCAATGCATTTGGAACTATGGCTATGGCGAGAGATGTAAGATCAACATCGCGGTTCATCTTTTCTCGTTTGATCAATGCAAAAGTTGAGATGGTTTCCAAATTTTGTTGGCAGGAATTTGAGGACAATTCTGCTTCCAGCCAAGTGTTCTGGCTGCTCAAGGAAAGTGAGCTAACTCCAAGCAATTCCAACATATTGGATGGTAGGTATTCAGTGTTTGGATACGTCACACAGAACGAAGACTTCTTGGCAGATTTGAAAGTTGGTGACGTTATAGAATCGATCCAAGTGGTTTCTGGCCTGGAAAATCTTGCCAATCCAAGTTACAAGATTGCTGGCTAGAGACTATTCTGTACTATGTAAATTTATTTCGGGATCCGGCAGACCGTCGTATTGTTTTGAGAGAATTTGCAGCATTTGTTTGGAGGGTGTAATGTATTCACTTGGTGTTTTCTTAATAAACCAACATCATTCCGACTCAAAAATTGAAAGGGGTGTATTGGAAGTAAAAAATGATGTGTGGATAGCGCATCCCCATACAAGGGCTCGTTTGAAAATGCTTTTAAAATGACTGGAAGTGATTTTGGTAAAGATGTTTTTTAAACCAATTCTTAGTAAACATCTACGTAAATCTTGAAAAACACTTTAAGTGTTTCCTGCAAGAAGCATATAGCTTCTTTCAATAAGCACTTAAATTGCTTTTGGAACCCAAAAACGCTTTCAATCGTTTTAAGAGCACTTTCAAACGAGCTCTAATTCAATTATAATCATATTTGGCAAGTGACCCTTTACCACAGTGGTGGAAAAGAGTTAACCTTTGCATGACGGAGTGAGTTTGAACCCCGTTGGTGGCTAATCTAACATCTAATCTAGTAAAATTTATCGTTTAAAAAATTATCACTCAGTACTACGGTCTAATGATATTCCTCTTCGCTTGGAAGTGAGAGGTTCTAGGTTCAAATCTCGTAAATGGCGAATTCAATACCAAATTAGACTACCCATTATGTGACTTAGTCGAACTTCTCATTCCTTTAATGTAAAAACATCGATGTACTAAAAAAAAAAAACTATAATTATACTTCTAAATGAAGTTTGGTAGCTTTGGACATGAAAATGATGGGCCTTTTATTGGGCTCGGCCCGCCCATATTTCTCTTTAGGCCTCACCCAAATCAGGGGATAAGATAAAGTATATAAACGGGAGGCCAATCAATGACCAACGAGATTAACGTCCACTTGTGCAACCATGGTGGTTGTATCATCCACTTCCCCTTCTCTCAAATCCAATTTCACTCCCCAACTCTCCACCGCCGCAAACCACCACCTCAGCAACCCTTCCCGCCACCCCATTTCGCCGTCTTTGCTATACCTTGGTCAAATCTATGGCGACCCCACGAGACACAAGAATTCCAAAGCCCCAAGCTCAAGTGGATTTTTCTCTGTTAAAGCTTATGTGGACAACCCAAATTCCATCTCCAGCTTCGCCAGCAAGGTCATCGGCTCACTCCCGGTTGTCGGTTTGATAGCGAGGATTCTCAGCGACGAAGGAGGCCTCGGCGGAGACACCGTTGATTTCGCAGAGTTTCGGAGGCGGGTGGGGAAGAAGTGCACTACTGATGATTCTAGAGCTTTTTATGAGTTCCAAGATCGACGAGGCAGGGTAAAGATCGAACCTTTAAAGACCCGTTTGGAAATGCTTCTTTTAAAATCACTTTTGTGCATAAGCAGTTTGTTGAAAATGTTACTAAAAATTCAAGTGCTTCCTAGAAAAGCACTTGGAAGCGTTTCCTGGGGAAGCACCTAGTCATATGCGCACTTTTAAATTTGTGTTTTTGTGAATCTTTGCGATTGATTTTGGAAAAATGGATGAGTTTTGAGTCGGATTTTGATGTTTTGTGTAGGCAGGGGATCCTCTGTATGTTCTAATGTGCTGTTGGGTAGCAGCCATTGGTGCCGGACTTCTGAAATCCGAAGAGATTTTAGAAGGGGCGGCGAGGCTGCGTGTTTCAAATGATATCGAATTCGAAGAGCAGAATTTCATTTCCTTGATCAACGAGGCAAAAGAGGTTGGTTTGGTTGGTTCGAAGTTTTGATCATGTCAACTTATGTGTGGCTCAAAGTTTTGTTCATGGTTCTAACTAAAAAATGATGTATGAAAAATGCAGAGACGGGCGAAACTAAAGGCTCCTACACCGGTTATCCCTATGGAGATTCGGGTTGAGAAAGCTCTTGAAGGGATTTACCTCTGTTGCTTCGGGAAGGATCCTATCGAAGAAGAAGATGAGAGACTTCTAAATGTAATGCTTAGGGCTGTTTATCCATCCGTTGAGCGGTCTGAGCTACAACGGATTATTAAGGAAAAGGCACAGAAGGTATCCGATGGAAGTACTGATGGCAGCGTTCGAGAGCCAAAGCCCCTATCAAAAGAAGCTGTTCAGATGCAGATGAAGGACCTCCAATTCCTTCAACAAAATAGAGATAGAGACACTTGATTGAAGTGCTTCTCCTCACTTGTACCTTGTAAGCAAAGAAATTCAAGAATTAATGATAGTACAAGTTTATCATTTAATCGTGGATTCGCAGTTTTTGTTTCAAAGTTTACGAAACAACTAAGTACAGAAAACCTTCCTAGCTGTTGGCCCTCTGCTTGGTTCCCAGCCAAGAAAAAATATGACATACAACATAACTTATCAATCGAGGATTCTCCAGCCAACCAAACTTCCGAAAACAAGGCGGTAGGGGATGGAAGGGTAATTACTACGACGAAAAAACGTAGGGCAGAAACTCCACTTGCATATAACCATATGATAATCTCATAACAGCAACAACTCATAGCCTAATACAAATTAAAGCAAAGAAAGTTCCTTTTACACTATTTGATTGGAGTTACCAGCTCTGTAGTAGGCCAGAGTTGCAATGCCTCCCCTCGTACCAGTAGACTCCCGTAGAAATAGCTCCACGACGTCTGCTAAACAAGAAACTTTCTTAGGCAGGCACCGGGAAAAGCTACATATCAACGTACCACCTCATTAACCAGAAAAACCATATCTTTATACTGATCGAAATCTGTTTCCAAGCGGGGTTTTGAAATGCGTTAGGGAAGGTCACTTTTCAAACAGCGTTAACCACTTCACCAGCACCAGGATTAGCCAGTTCATTAACATTGATCAGCTCATATTCCACTAGTGACAAGTTGTTATCTTCCTTCACGGAGAAGCTGGCAGGTTCGGTTACTTCAACTCGACCCCATTTGTCCACAGCAAGCCTCATAGAACCCTTGAACATGTCTATTTTCGCGTTGCGCAGGATTACAGTTGCACCGGTTGTCATCAAGTCAACTGTCCACAGGAAATTTAAAGACATTTTAAGAACAATCTCATCTAAAATCTGTGCAATCCAACAACAACAAAAGTAAAAAAGTGTGGACGCCGGAAAATCAAGATAAGATCAAAGATCAATGTCGGATAAAAGACACTACCTTGATCATTTCTGGCGGTGAAAATGATGGTTCCGGTTTCATCTCCAACCAAGCATTCCGCGATCCTCATCTGACGAACTTGGATTCCATCAGGACGCACCTTCTGCATTACGATCTTCGAACTAACAACCTTCACAACCAAGGTATGTCCCTTGGTGTCCGGTTTCAGCTGATCAACCTTCTTGAAGACAGGTTTCCTCTTTGCCGGTCTTGTTTCCGCCATTTCTAACAAAAAGCTCTAAGATAACCCAACACAGAGAAACACGTCAACAATCCGAACAACCTCGAACAATCTTAACCAATACAAACATGAATCCAGAACTCAAATTTAACCACATTTGCCACAAGATACAAGAACAAAACGTCACAAATGGCCATAAAGTTGCAACATTTAGCCTTTTGTAATTAGTCACAAATTACATCATTAGTCAAACATTCTCAATTGGGATGTAGCCTTTGATGAACGATGATGAACAGAAGAAAAAATAAATGGAAAATTTAAAAAAAAAAAATTCAGCAGCTAAAAAAGCAAGAACCTTTATCCCTCTTCAGATGAATTTTTTGCTAGAAAACTAAGAAAATGCAGATAGGATTCAGTTTTGGAATTACCGTTTAGAGAGAGAGAGACACACACACACACACAACAAATTGCAGATCCAGAGAGAGAGAGAGAGAGAGAGAGAGAGATGAAATTGGTTTTTTTGCAGCAGTGAGAGTATGTGTGTGGTTGTGGAATTTGGTGACCGTCGAAATCGCCTTTTGAAAAGAAAGGTTACCGGACCAACGTCCGTTTGATCTTCCACATTTTCATGAGCAGATCCTGTTTGTACACGTCTTCAAATTCAATGGACGTGTGGTCCAGATTGAATTTTCTATTTTTATGAATATATATAAACGAAGTTCAACCGTTCAAGCTTTAGTTTTGAGCAATTTTTCATTTTTGATACAACTATATTGACCAAGAGAAAATCGAACTCTAGACCTCGGAAATAATGCTTTTGAGCACTTGATTACAAACTCTTTCCAAGTTATGAGCGGAGAGCATTTTGTAGCGCTAATAACAAATTCCGTTAATGCTCTTCCATTTATAAACTAGAACAGTAACAAGTTCTTATTATTGAAAGGGAAAATACTCTCACAAGTCTCACATAGACATAGTGACGCATGCTCAGATTAAACCGGTGGCCTATACGGCCATACAACCGGTGAAACAAAGAAGATAAAAACATTGGGTGCACAGACCCTAAAGTTGAAAGCTTTTGGCTACATTATTCATATGGACCTACACCATCGTCAGCGTCTGCAAGCGAACACGAAGTAGCAGACTTCATCACGAGCACCGAACTACTGGTACTGGCTTGCTAGTTTACCGTCCTTGACAATGTAGTTTTGTGCTGGAAATTCTTCTCCCTTGAAGTACCTGTCAAGCATATCCTTCGTCCCAGCAGCATAACGCAACTACACATTACATGATGGATTTCAGTTGTGGGAACATAAGAAGTGAAACCACGAGCGTAAAGGAGAAAATTATTGAAAATAAATGTACCTGTGCGTCAATTGTGGTACCGGATATATGAGGGGTCATAGCATGGTTTGGCATGTAACGCCATGGATGGTCTTTTGGAGCTGGTTGTGGGTTCCAAACATCACCACTGTAACCTGGGGAATCATAGAATTATATGAAACGATTAGCCAAAAATCAACAGAAATAATTCGACTAACAATGACCTGATCATGAGTTACCTGCAATGTGTCCGCTGGAGCAAGCATCAACAACAGCCTGCGTGTCCATGATTGCCCCACGAGCATTGTTAACGATCAGGACTCCCTTCTTACACTTCGCAATTCTTTCTTTGTCAAACAGTCCTCTGTGTCACAAGATCAACGTTGATTAAGTTTGATTCACATCTGCTTGAATAGTATTACATTTTGCAGTTCTATCTTTTCAAACATCTCCGAGTCACAATATCAATGAATGGAATAAAATAGTCGGAAGATTAGCCTTGACATAAGTACCTTGTTTTTTCAGTAAGCGGTGTGTTGACAACGATAACATCACATTTCGGAAGCATTGCATCCAGATCCTCCTCGAACTTTGCCCCAGTCTGTTGCTCCAATTCGGGGTCAATCTTGACGCGATCATGATAGAGAAGATTGCAGTTGAAAGGCTTCAACCTTTGGAGCAAAAGCCTACCAATACGTCCAGCACCAACCGTCCCCACTGTCTTTCCTTCGAGATCATAAGCTCTGTGGGCAATACCTGCAACATTCCATTCCCCGGTTACAATCTGCTGATGTCCAGGTACGAAGTTGCGGACGAGAATGAGGATTCTCATGAGCTCGTCTTCTGCAACCGAAACCACATTGCTTCCCGTGACCTCTGCCACTGTCAAACCGGCAGCAGCTGCAGCTTTCAGATCAATGTGATCAGAGCCAATTCCAGCTGTTAGAAGCAGTTGCAAATTCTTCGCCTTTTTGATCCGTTCAGCCGTGACATAGGCAGGGTGGAAGGGGGTTGTTATGAGAACATGAAGATCTTCAATGTGTTTCTCTAGTTCTGAACAAACAGCACCAAAAGGGAAAAATCAGCTTAAAAGTCCAACGAAAACTAATCTTAAACCCGAAAATCTTGTCAAATTAACAAGTTACCGGTCAGTGATTAGGGAACTTTAAATGCCATATACATGCTAGCGGGACAAATTTAACATAATTGAGTCTAAAAGCTTTTAACCAACACTAATCAGTCACATTAATCAGCAAAGTGTAGCCTTTTATTTCGTGTTTCTTGCAAGGCGATATTCTAAACTATTCTAATCTACGAGGAAGGTAGATCCAACTCGGGGGTAGTGGGCGGCCATACTACCATGGCCAACTAGCCTAACCCACGTCTTCAAACTAACTATAGCCTTAAAGAAGCAATTTTTTGTAACTACTAACCACTATTTGGTCCATCCTTGTCATCGGTGACAATATACTTGTGGCCCTGTGATTCCAGCCAGTCCCTTATCCCCAAAGCTCTCTCCTGAGAACCCAGAAAATTGGGGTTCAACTCTGCATACTCATTTGCCTTGTAAAACACCCCAACAATCTTTTTGCTTCCACCAGATGCCTGCTCATACCAAAACCACATCAATTCAACACAACCCAAAATTTGGATTATTAATTTTTAATAATAATAAAAAGGGACTTATAGCTCGGTTGGTTAGTCGCAAAAGCCCCATAAGCTAAAGATGGCATTTTTAAGAGGTGATCAGCAATTAAACAAGCTGAATTATATATGAAATTATGGAGTGGCTTACATGGAGGTGCCTGGTGAAAGTTGTTGATGATGCTGAGCTTCCTGATGAAGCAAGAGCTCGAACTGCAGAAACAATCACACCCTTACTCGCCATGGATTCTTAAGCTTTCCCTGCTAATTGGTTTGCCAGATGATGCTTAAAAATTGTCTGAAATAATTATTAAAAACAAAAAATCTGAAGGAGAAGGAAGGGGTGTGTGTGTTGTGTGCAACTCAAAGGCTTCTGCCCATTTATTTATAGACAAGCAAATAAAAAGAGAGCTCTGTCCATCCCAGCTCCTCTCTTCTTCATCATCTCGATGCTTATTTTTTATTATTTGTCCCTTCGCGTCATCAATCTCGAGAAATTTTTAATTGTAATGGAAACACAAGTAGTACACCATATGTTTTAATAGAAAAAGTGGGAAATTTATTTTTTAAGAGCAATTCCACTGTGGAAAAAGCCCCCCAGGCTATTCACTATTTAATTCACCCAGTTAACAGTAATTGCATTTTGTATCTACATCCCTATATTGAATAGCTCTGGTAATAGGTAATAAAATATTAGTATTTTTTTATATAAAATAATACAAAATAATTTAATTTGTAATTTTGGATAAGATTTTTAATCGTTCTCATTGCTTCCCGTATCATTATCCGAAAAAACAATTATTGGTGATAGATTTCGATAAGATTTTTATCCAATGTCGTCATGCCACGTGTCATTACCTTTTCATAATCTTTGAGGATATATTTCCAATAAGATTTTTAACCAATCATTTCGCGCCACGTGTAACAATCGGTTTGTAATCTTTGATGATAGATTTCGATCAAATTTTTAACGAATGACAGCATGTCACATGACATTATCTACAACCTAATCCTTTATGAATCCTTCATATAATGAGAAAGTATTTACAGAAAAGTAAAATCATTTTTTTTGGATTTTATTTAATTTTTTACATTTTTTTTTCACCTAATTAATCTCTACCGTTGGATTTAAAAAATTTTAAATTCCAACACTCCAAATTGTGCCACGTGGCACAACTGTAAGATTTCTGATTTTTAAACTGTTTTTTCTTTTTTTTTAAATTTATTTATAAAGATGAATAACGTGGACAGTTAATATCAGATCCAACGGTTGATATTAAATAAGATTTTTTTATTATTTCTTTTACTGTTGGAATTCAATGGTCTAGAAATTGTAGCCGTTGAAATCCAACGGACGTGGGGAAGTCACGTGGCCTTCCCAACGGTAACATTTCCATGTGCGCCGCGGGCCCCAAGCCTGAAATTCTGTCGGATGACACGCACCCACGCGCATATAAAAAACATGGCTGACATCATCCTGACATCAACCCATGTCACATTCCTTTTGGGCGCTCAGGCCGGCGACTTGTGTCTAGCCTCTCCCTCGGGCCTGCTTGAGCTCGCTCGCAAAACACATGTTGGTCTTCATCACTCGAGCTCTTTGGCCCTGTTCCTACGCCTGTCCCTCAGGTTGGAGCACACGGGGGAAGTGCTCCAAGTTATTAACTTTTTAGCACACATTTCCTACCATTTGTATAATAACACGTGATGTATCACCTCGTGTACCGGTTACACTGAAATATCTCTCCATCAGCCTAGGCTAGTTGGTATCCAAGGCTCCCTATGAGGCCAAATTAACCCCAAGTCTTGCCCAAACACTTTTAGAGGACAGTTTAGGACACTACAGGTAACCAACGAAACCAAATCACCTAACACTTTTTAGCCCCTAGCCTTTCACACGATTAAAACAACAAAATTTTGTGAGCGCTAAATTTCATGAATAGTTGCATATTAAGAGGTCAAATAAAGCATCTAGCACCTAACCCTTGTCTTCCCACTATACTTGCTCTTAGAGTAGATCTATCAAAATTCAATTTGTCCCCTTTGTGATTCTGCAAAGGCTTTCGAGCCGGCGGGGCGGGGAAATTTGGTGGTTGTGTCCCGTGGAAGTGGTGAAAGGCTCTTTGTAATTTGGTGGGCACACGTGATCTGCATTTGGTCAAAAAATGCCCAAGCGCCAAAGGCACTTACCCGACAAGGTATACACTTGGGGCAGGAGTTCACTATTTCATTTGAGGTCTTCAACTCGAACTTGAATTTCGACAGAGAATACTTTTGGCCGCCACTCTAATGTAATGAAAAGAAACATGACTCAGATATATCAAGTATCATAAATGATAAAACAATTGATTGGATACTTGAAATAAAATAATTTCAATAAATTATTTTGTAACACTTGATATACTGCACCTTATTTCCGGTATAATAAAAAACTTTTTCAAATAATGGTGATGCTCAACATCAAATTTATAACAGTTAGATGAGTTTAAATTTTAAAATCTATGTTGTTGTTAGACACAAATTTTAAAATTTAAATTCATCAAACAATAATAAATATGGTTGTGAGCACTACCGTTTAAGAATGGTGAATAAAAATGCACCATTGACAAAAAGAAAATAAAAACGTGAACTTGATTAATTATTAAAGGGAATCAAAATAGTAATCAACAAAACCATAATCCTAATCCACTCACTTACGTGGAAGATACATCCAATAATTGGACCACATGGCAAATACAAAATTGTTTAAGTTATCTTGTGGAGGTGGCATCCTGCCCGCGGGAATGACTACGTACCCAAAAAAGTGGCATCACAACAAGTTTTATGTGCTAAAAATTTCCAACTACCATCGTCTAGATTACGTCTAGTGGTCAATGCTTGATCAATCTCTAGGCATTTGAAAATTAAGAAATAGAGCATATACCTCCTTAGGCGTCTTTCTAGCATGCCTTCTCCGTCTAGACTCGTCTAGGTCGCGACGACGTGACTCTCACTTAAATAGAAATCGACAACTTTCTTTTTGCATTTTATTTTTGTTTAATAAATTATAAGAGACTTGTTGAATCTTAGATGAACACTCGTTATCTACTTGTTCTCATATTTTCTATGTGTTCTAATACTTTAATTTGCATGTCATTTTATTTTACAATTTATATATCTCATTGTAATTATGTATTTTTTGAGTATAATTAGGACACTTATTTATACGATATAAATACATTTACTTAAATCTACCTAGTCCGCATCATCCCTGCCTAGACCATCCCATCTTAGTGACTTAGACGTACGCCTACCATCTTTTAAAACATTGATGTCCATATTTGAAAAAGTTTGCAAAATCGAATTGAACCCCTATAATTTATAACTTTTAATGTTTGTCATAAATGCAATAGTTCAGTGGTTTCAAAAAAAAAAAAAAAAAATGCAATAGTTCAGTTTTAACGAACCGTGCACTTAAGAAAAATATTATAAATAATTTGACAACGACGTTACAAAGTTTTTTTTTTTTTTTTTTAAGATGTAGAATTAAAAAGTCAAAAGATTACCACATGAGATTTAGAAAATCTCTTAAATTTTTTTTAAATTGTTGGAGAACAAGTGTTACAAATTGTAGAAATTCGTTAAAACAATCCAGAGCTCGTTTGAATGTGTTATTAAAATAGCTACAAGCACTTTTAGAAAAATTATTGTAATTTTTTTTATTTACAATTGAATATAAACAGTACTTGATAAAAACTGATCGCACAATATACGGTAAACGAATATAATTAAAAGATCTTAAGGATGTTTATAAAGAGAATCCGACGAAAATCTTTGTTTTTATGTAAGGCTCATACCAAACAATCAAACCTAGCCGCGGTTTATAACAAAAAGCAGCTGATCCAAAACGGGCCTCATCCACTCAGTTGACAGCCCAAAAAATTTGGGCTTTTTATATAGGAACCCAGCTCGTGACTTTGATACATAAACTAAGCCCAATTAAACTCGGTTCTTTCTTCCCGGTCAGCAAGCTCGGCTCACTGTTTGTACGGGAGAAAAGTGGGGTGAGCTCAGAATTGCAGAACGGTGAATTTAGTGGAAAGTCAGTCGGAGGACGGCGGAGATGGAGAGTCCGGTCGCCACCGTGACTCAGCGCGATCAGTGGATGGTGGAGAGTCAGGTCTTTGGGATCTACGGAATCTTCGGCAACCTCCCACCCAAAGCCCAATCCGTCATGTAAGAAAAAAAGCTTCCTACTTTCCACTCTCAGTCAATCCTTCGGGTTTACAAAGAATTTCCCTTTTGTTTTTTTTCTCGATACGAGCGATATTCTACTTTAAACTTATCTAATTAAACTGCAGGAAGGAGATTCGAACTTGGTTTTTTTTTTTTCTTTTTTTAATTGTTCGTTTTTGTTGTAGAAGTTTGGTGAAACCGAGCGCAGTAGCGTTCTAAGATTTATAGAGCCGATCCTATTTAGTGGGATAAAGTTTTGTTGTTGTTGTTCGTTCTTGTTGTAGCTTTTGATTATTTTCTTTTACTTTTGTTGGGTTTTTGGTTTTTGAAGGATTGAGCTTCAGCGTGATAGTCACATAGAGTATTTAACCAGAGGCCTCAGAGGACTCCCTTCCTCCTTCTGCGTTTTGGATGCCAAGTATAACACTCTCTCTCTCTGTGGTGATTTTTGAGCTGAATTTCATGGTTTTTTTATTTATTGGGGTTTTGATTTTTTTGGCATGTTCAATTGTTGTGTACATTTGTTTGCAGTCGGCCTTGGCTTTGTTACTGGATTCTGCACTCATTGGCTTTGCTAGAGGAGTCTGTTGACGATGAACTGGAACATAATGCCATTGACTTTCTAAGCCGTTGTCAGGTTTGTGAATAATCGATTGGAATGTAATGAAGGGCCGGTGTTTTAGTTTCCTTCACCACTAAGAACAAAGAAAACAGTGATCTTTAGTGTTTTGTTATCATAGAATGGTATGTTTAGATTGTCACGAAGTTGTGTTTTGCTTCCAGGACCCAGAGGGTGGATATGGTGGCGGACCTGGACAGGCAAGTATATTGGTCTCAGTATTTGACGTTGTGGCTTCCAATATCGATATCTCTTTGTTTAACTCTGTTGGTGTTAGTTGTGATAGCTTGACCAGGCTTATACAACATAGTGCTTTGCATTCTTTTGGTTACAATTGTTAGCGTGTTCTTTGATTTCTCAGATGCCACATCTTGCAACGACTTACGCTGCAGTTAATGCACTTATAACCCTCGGTGGTGAGGAGGCGCTTTCATCAATTAATAGGTGATCAGTTTATGCTCCATTTAAGGAAAAAATTCTTTTTCACAACAGTGCAATTTATAGCCTTCTGAAAGTGATTTGACATGTTCTTTTTTTCCTTTTCAGAGGTAAAATTTACAAGTTTTTGCGGCAAATGAAACATCCAAGCGGAGGCTTCAGGTTAGATATCGCATTGATTTGTGTGGTTCTATAGTTTGAGGACTTATTTGTACAATGATCATTTCAATACCTTTGATGTACATTTACCATCACTAATTACTTCTTCTTAGGATGCATGATGGTGGAGAAATTGATGTCCGGGCTTGCTACACTGCGGTTTCTGTTAGTCTCTCTCTCCGTCTATCTACACACATACACACACAAACACAAATACATTGGGGCAGAGTACTAGTCTGAGCGTCCTTTCTAATGCATTATAGTTCTGTTCTTTGTTACCGGCTTGCTATATGCTTGCTTAATTTTCATCATGACAATTTTACTCGTCATTGCAGGTAGCAAGCATTTTGAACATTTTGGATGATGAACTGGTTCAAAATGTTGGAAGCTTCATCTTAAGGTTGCTTACCGAGTCATTCATTTTATTGAAAATAAATTTAGGTCTGTTTGATATTTTGAAGTATGCGTTGTATTGTTGTTGTGCTATTGTGGAGTGCTTGCCCAATGGTCCTTGATTCTTCCACATCTGTTTTTTAATGACTTTCTTTCTCTTGCCTTTGATTGCGTTAAGTCATGGACTGAAGATTTTCTTCTTGATACAAATGGCATTATATCTTGGTTAAATTAAACGTCCTCTCTTTGCAGTTGTCAGACGTATGAAGGTGGTATTTCTGGGGAGCCTGGTGCTGAAGCCCATGGTGGGTATGTTTCAGACTTAAATGTCAATTTTTTGCCTGCCTATCTTTATGTTCTTCCCATTTACGCATTCAGAAGATTGCATATACTACTAATGTCAAATCATGTGAAATATTAAGACGATGTATTTTCACTTCCTTTTCCATTTTCCATTCGCTCACATGTCAAAATACATGTGTGCATTCCTTTGGAGCCTTTCTTAGATCCGATTTTTTTTTCCCTTCAGGTACACTTATTGTGGGGTAGCTACAATGGTTCTAATCAATCAGGTCAATCGTTTGGACTTGCCTGGACTAATTGTAAGAAAATTTTCATCTCTTTCGTGCGATGCAGATTACAGATATTTATAACTGCTTCTAAATGTGAAAATTTGTATAGTTATTTGTTTATCTGCTTTTATTCTGCAGTTTGAGTCGTTTGTTATTGTATTAGGATTGGTTGACATTTCGACAGGGGAAAGAGTGTGGATTTCAGGGGAGGACTAATAAATTGGTCGACGGTTGCTACTCCTTCTGGCAGGTGATTCTTTGTCTTTTCTCCTTGAGGATCCTTCTCAATCATAGTTGAATGTATTATGTTAACTATTCAGTGACCAGGGAGGTGTTTTTCCAATATTACAAAGAGTACGTTCAACTATTGATGAACAACTCACGCTTCGGGATGATGGAGGGCAGTGTACCAAGGATGGCGCGCAGACTTCTACAACATCTAATATATCTGAAGAGGGGAAATTTTTTGAAGGCACTACATCACCAGGAGGTAGGCTGACAGCGACTTGGGCATATTTAAGATTTTGTCCATCTATCCTTTACAAGAACGGATTCACCTCGTTAAACCCATATTTTCTAATTTATGTGTTATGTGGTTATCTTATAAATTTACAATTTTCCCGTTCTTATATGCATGGCTAAATGTTTCGTGTGCAGTGAATTTGAATGATATCGGCTATGATTTTCTCAAGAGGCCTGTAATATCGGAGCCACTTTTTCACAGCATCGCATTGCAACAATATATACTTTTATGCTCACAGGTTTGATATTTAAGATAGAACTTTACACTGTGATTACTGGATGCAAGATACATCTCAAGCAATGTTATCTTAATCGGTCATATTTCTAATTTGTAAGTTTCTTACTTCCGAGGGGGTTACATATCAATTTGATTTTGTCAATGCAGGAGGGGAAGGGAGGAATGAAAGACAAACCCGGGAAATCGAGAGACTTTTACCACACATGCTACTGTCTAAGTGGTCTTTCTGTATGTCAACACATTTGGTCGAACGACGAAGACTCTCCGGTGTTGCCTGGGGCAGTCATGGGTCCCTATTCCAATTTGTTGGAACCAATTCATCCCCTCTTCAATGTTGTCCTAGAGAAATACCATGAAGCAAGGGAATTCTTTACAAGAGACTGAGCAATAAACTCCTCGGCGGAGGAGTTCTTCGGTCCAGACGCCCGCACCACTTGACTGTCTGGCCAAGGCTCGTTGGGCGGGGCCGCCTTCGGATTGCTTAAGGGCTGGATGAATGATGCATAATTTAGGCTTGTAACATTAATAATTAAGGGCATGGTCTTCGCTGATGTTTCTGTACTTGTATGAATCATGTATTCTTATTAATGACAAAGAAATAATCTAATACTGCATTAATCCAATCGATTTGATTATGTTTTCTCATGACGAGTCTTGATGCAATAGAAATGTTGCTCTTTTGTGATAGAAATGTCACATGTTCGAGTCATGACAACAGTTTTTTTGCAAAGCAAGAATAAGGCTGTTTATGATAGACATTCCTCTTCTGATCCTCACAAAGCACAGAATCTTGTTGGCTTCGGTTGCCCTTACTTGTTTCTGCTTTCAACTGATTTTAGCAGGTTTTATTCCCCACCGCCCAGAACCATTTGTGGAGCAGTTAGCGCTTGGCGGTGTCACTGGTGGTCCCATTGATACCAACCACGATAGCAACATGAACAAGTTTAGGAGGAAAACTTCTCAACAGGATTCTCTCTGGATCTTTTTGATGAGAATTATAAGAATATGTGAATCGTGTTTGTTTATCGTACATTATGCGATCAATTTTTATCAAGTACTGTTTATGTTTATTTTTAAATAAAAATATTTAAAATAATTTTTAACCACACGATATACAATAAACAGACATGATTTACGAATCTCCGGAATCCTCACTAGGAGGATCCGGACTCGAAATCTTCAACCCAATTGTGCAATGCTTGCTTAAGAAAGTTTAAAATGCGTGGCAATCAACTATTGGTTTCGGATGCTGCTATTAACCTTGTGCCAGGACGTCATTGTGACCATATCAAAAACCAAAAGCACTGTAATTACGAAAAACTTAAAACACGTAACGTCGTCATTGATTAGGAACACAGAACACTACGTTTTTGTGAAAATGTTTATCAAACCATTAGTAAAAATCTAAACGGGTCCTTGAAAAATTGTGTGATTGTCTTGGATGACACAATACATACAGCTACAATGGTGTATTTTTTACGTTTGATCTTGTTGTATTGTAACAATTTATGTTTTTTAAGAGCTAAAAGGGATTTGAGTAAAAAAAAAAATCGTCTAAATAAGTTGAGCAGAAGTACTTTTATAATCCTAAATTTATTTCATAAGAAACGCTTTCAATTATTTTAAAAGTATTTTTTTAAAGAATTTCAAACGAACCGTCTGTACTTAAAAATTTGAACAAGTCATTTACGGGAGTCGAACTCTGATTACACGTGGGTATCTGTTGTGCAGGGAATGAGAAAGCGACAAGTTGGATTTGTTTTCTTTTGGTCACTCCATATTAATTTCTTGAAGAAACGGAAAAAAAAACTGTCAAATTGTAGATGTAGGGAAAAACCCATCTCAGACTCGGACTGAGACTCAGAGTCCACACCAAAATATGGAAACAGTTTCAGACGACCAACCAGAAACACCACCACAACACAAAGAAGAAGAAAAACACAACGAAAAACAAGTGCAAGAGGAAGAGGAAGAAGAAGATGATGAAGAAGAAGCAGAAAAGCAGAGCTTCCCAGAAACACCATCCCCTTCTCCAACACCCTCCTCGACGCATCAAACCTTTCTCGCTTATGAAATCACAGTCGCACCTGCAGACACCAAGCCGGCGTCGCCGCAGCTTGCGCCGCCCCAGTCCTTCAGGGCTGAGCCCAAGGTTGTGGGTCCCAATTCCAGAGATGGGTTTGATGGGACCACGGCGGTTCGGGGAGAGAGTGGCGGTAGAATCGGTGGTGGTTCGGGTGTAAATATTCCAACTTTGAGACCCAAGTTGTCGATACTGAAGAGGTCGAGGAGGGAGAGCGTGGTGAGGAGGGCTTTGTTTGGGTTAAGGATTTCTGGGTTTGCGTTGTGTTTGATCTCTTTCTCTGTCATGGCGGCTGACAAGAACCAGGGTTGGGCTTTAGATTCCTTCTATCGCTACAAGGAGTTCAGGTTTGTCACTTGTCAGTTAAGCACTGATATCGAAAAAACGAAAATATCACTGTGACGGCATGCAAGTCAAATACACACAGCTGTTCGTTTTGTAGTGTAATGAAAGTGTGTGATTGTCTTGGATAACACAATACCGTATATCATTACAGTGGTATTTCCGTTTTTGTTATGTTCTCCTATTGTATAGTAACAATTTGTGTTTCCTGAAGAGCTAAAAGTGTTTTCAGTCAATAAAAAAACCGTCTAATTATGTTTAGCAGAAATACTAAATACATTTCTTAGATTGTAAAGAAAATCACTTCTAATATAAACGCTTCTAAGCAAAAGTGTTTTTTAGAAAAGCAATCACCATTTCTAATTTTGTTGAATTATTAGTGTTTTTTGGGGTAAAAAATGATAGTGGGTTTGAGGAAGATATTAAAAAGGAAGAAGATTATTAATTGGATTTGTGAATTTGACGTGAATTTGCAGGTTCTGCTTGGCAGTGAATGTGATAGGATTTGTGTATTCGGGGCTGCAAACTTATGATTTAACTTATTTCTTCACCAGTGGAAAGCATGTAATCCAGCACCATCTCCGCTATTACCTTGATTTCTTGTTGGATCAGGCAAGTGATTAATTTTAATATTATACTTAATTATTCTACCTAATCTAGCCCCAGAAATTGTTGCCTTCTCGGAGGGTTGAAAAATTTGTATAAGGCAGCCGGTTCACCCAAACTGTCCGACTGTGCTCACAAAAAACTCAATGGGATTTTGGTTTAGTATCATTCTCGATGTAAGAGTTGTCATAACGGTCTATAGAAGTTTCTCTTCTAATCCAAACAGAATCTCATCATGAGATAATATTGGATCAATTGGTTCTCGACTTTTTTTTTATTCCACCTTTTTTATACCTTTTCTACTAGCCTTTTTACCCAATAATGATTCTACATTTCCATTTGTGTTCATATTTTTTTAGAATATCTTAAAACAAACATATTAGCATCAGCACATCGGAAAAGTTACTTCTTTGTTATGATAAAGTCACGGATTTCAGTTGTGGAAATAGCATTTTTGTAAAGAAAAAGTAAGGTTGCGTATGATAGAGGGTCACCTCTGACCCTCACAAAGCGGAGAATCTTGTTAGCTTGGGGTCACTCTATCTTAAAGCAAACTTATTGGAATGACCAGTGTGACTGCTTAAAAATGTTAAACGACTTAAATTAGTACAACGTACAGAAGGGCAACGATTTTCACACTCCTGTAATTCTGTTCTTCTGCACTTGTATCCTTGTTTTTATGTGGTCGCGGATTCTCGAAGCGTAAAAATAAAAACCCAATACATATTCTGCATTCTGATTACTTACTGTATCTTCTGATTATTTGCTGTATCCTCTATGTTATGTTATGTGAAACTTATTAGTTGAATGGTTTTGGTTGGCATGGCAGATTTTAACTTACCTTTTGATGTCGGCGTCTTCTTCGGCTGCGATTCGGGTTGACGACTGGGAGTCGAACTGGGGCAAAGATAAGTTCCCGGAAATGGCTTGTGCGTCCGTGGCATTGTCCTTCCTTGCCTTCGTCGCCTTTGCCTCAAGCTCCCTCATCTCTGGTTACACCCTTTGTACTCTAAAATCCATGTAGTTCTTCTTCATACTTAGATATAGATGGACGGTGAAAAAGTGATGTACTTTTATCTTATATAGAGAAAGCTATGCTTGTGTTGCATCTGCGTCATGATTCTTTGATGATTCGGCACAAAATTATGTTTAGGCTAGGATAAATTCTTTAGCTTCCATTCGACGTTAGCCGTCCCACAAAAGACTCATACGTACAGGGATCCCTACATTCAGGTCTCGTACGGTCCTATTCACGTGGAATCGAATGTAGGGTATCCCTTTATGTATTTGGTCGGACGGTTGACTTAGACCTGACATTCAACGTGAAAATTGGTTTATCGATTGGGCCAAATCTCATTTCCAATACCGATGGCCATTTGTATGTAACAAAGAGAATGAGAAGCATAACGTGGACTTACTTCTTGGGAAAATGAAGGTCTGTGTTGATGACATGATTGTGAAGTTTCGATTGAAAAATATTAAAGTGCCCGTGAGTTTTAAAACTTTGATTTGATTTTACCATTAGCACTTTCACTGAAAAACGCTTAAACTACAGAGATTTCTTACGTAAGGACTTGCAAATGAGCTAAGTAACTTGAAAACTGTCGGTTTTTTTCTTCTTACATTTCTTCTTGTAGGTGTGAGCAATAAGGAAGAAAACATATGATAAGAAAAATAAGGAAGAGAACTTCAGTGCTAGTTTTTATCTATAAAGTCCGCAATGTCAGATTTGACTAAAAGAAAGAGGACTTCAAATGCATAACATGCTGTCGCACACAATGAACCTCAAATAACAATGCATCCAGATGCATGGTTTGGAGTTTTTTCTTTGCATGGCCACGTAGGCAAACACCGAGCTTCCGCATCCTTCTCCTTCGCCACCAAACGACACGCTGTCAAGATCTCAGACTGTGACCATATCTCACTCATTTGCTCACAACAACAACAACCCTTTCCGGGCCCTTTGCAAGTTTTTGTGGTTTTGCAGCGCATCAATGGCTGCTGCAGCTTCAAGTGATCCAGTTTCAGTGCCATTTGTAAACAAGGCGTGGGTGTACTCAGGGTACGGAAATTCTGCAGATGTTTTGAAGTTCGATCCGAATGTGGCTGTTCCTGAAATATTGGAGGACCAGGCGCTGATCAAGGTGGTTGCTGCATCTCTCAACCCAGTTGATTTCATTTCAAGAGGATGGTTGGCTACTTCGAGGGCTTTGAGGTGCCGTTTGGTAGGCTGGATGTGATAGGTTGTGACCAATTAAAATGTACTTGAGTTCAGTACATTGTCTGTTGTATCAAAATGTTAGATGGATAAGACTGGACAGAATGAGTTATGAATCAACAATAGAGTGGGTTATCTAACATATCATTATACATAAGTTACAAGTCCCGTCTTACAAGTCTTTGTCAATCCAATACTATCCTTAAGGCTAAATCTCATCTAGCCCACCCAACAAGCCCTAATCTCCACCCCTGTCAAGCTGTCAACCTCTTTCTCTCCCCATTTTCGTTAATGCATAATTAGTTTGTGATTTGGAGGTGGTTAGGTTAGTTGACTAGAGTAGTCATATTGCCCCTTGCACGTTTGATGCCTCACCTCTTACTATGTGTATTTCACCAAAATTCAAAGGCCTACAATGTTCTAACAAATGATGTCCATATTTTATCTTTTCATGATTAATTTTTTTGTTCCTTAAGTACTTCTAACGAGCAAGTTAGGAGTCTAATCCGACGGAATGTTGTGACAAAGCAATAACCGTGCTTATTCTTCTAATAAAGAAATTAAACCTTATTTTAGAAAACGATTCATCCACTACTACTAGTATAGAAGATCCATTGACACGCACGGCTACCTATATAACAAGTTGCCTTTTCATATAATTTTTATTACGAAAAACTCAAATGTGGGATACATTTTTTTTGATAAAAAGACGATATATTTCATTCCAAGATTATAAACTAGGCTAAACAGTACAAGGAAAGAGGAGGTCCTCCTCCAGAAGATCACAGATAAACATAGGAGGATTGCCAAACCAAGTATAATTACTCTCCGAATAGAGAGCAAACCTAGCAATTCTATGAGCTACATAGTTAGCATCACGGCGAACATGAGCAATAGAAACTTTAGCGACTATAAAGAGCTTGGAATCTTCTATGATAGGTTCAATAGTCGACAAATCAATAGCAGAAAATGTGGGACACATAAGTCTAATGGTCCAAACTACTGGTCGAAGAGAGACACCCACACTACACCAACCTTAGCTAAATAGGGGTTGCTGGTATTAAAGATGAGACAGCTCCCACTTAATTAGTTGAAATCCACTTAATTAATTAATTAATTATAGTTAAACACCGTCTCTTGTTAGTTGATAAACTTGTTTGTTGCTGCATCCTTTTTAGATTCCCTATCATGGAATTGGTGCCTCACCGACTAATTCTTTTTCGATAATTAATTGGCCAAGCAAAATCGTAACATCGTTGCCCAATATTTCCTTGAAAATTATTCCAATCATCCTGCTAATACAGTGATACGGTATCTTAATCACGGGTCTATTTATTTCATTTATTATTTAATTTTTACCATATTAAGCTTCATTTTTAGATTTTTGACCTTCACATTGATACAAGTGTCTTTCATTTCAAGTATTACATGGGTAACACACTTGTTACAACAATATAGATGAACAATAAGTTTATATTTTCATAACGTCGAATACACAAAACTAACCGCATTGTGGACACTATTTTTAATAAAGATGAGGTTTATTATTGTATTAGGGATCCACCTATATTAGAGTGTTTGTCAACAATGTTATCAGGTTTATGTATTTAAATAGCATTACTATTGTATTTGATGGTGTAATAAATATAAAGGAATTAGTAGATGTCCCCAACTTACCACCACGACAAGTGACCTGATGAAAAAATGCGAATAGCAACTCCTTAAAAAAACTAACGAGAAGTCTTGAGTTCATTATTTTGTAAGTTGTGAATTTGCGTGATTGTAATCATCTATAGAGTGTAATTTCCAATCAGTCTCCTTCAAACCTGAAAAAAAATAGATAACAGTGACTCATCACCAGTTGTTCTATTTAAAAGAAAACAAAAAAATAGATGTCCCCAACCATATCAATCATTTGATCTTTGTCTAAACTTTTGTTCCATGACCGTACTACAAAATAAGATTCTTTCCTTAATTTAAGCAACCAAAAGAGTGTCTTATTTTCCAAATAGCCCCTTGTCAGCCCATTGGCCAACAATTTCCACCTCAATTGGGCCTAAAAATATATTTTATCTTTCTATTTTTTACTTACTTGGGCCCACAAATTCCAGTTAGCTCATGGCCCATTCCACATTTCCACCGAGCGGCGAACCAGCTGAATCCAGCTGGACGTGGTCCACGTGGAATCTTCAAAAGCGGGCCAATCATTAAGTCGCGGTCCCTTAAAAGCGGAGGCTTCTTCGCTTTCCCTGCTGCCACGTGGTAAAGTGAGATCAAAGTTCGTATTCCTGTAACGAGCAGCGCTGTCATCGGAGCATTTTCCACCGCTTTTGGCGTTGAAAAGCTCGTTATTCCCGCCAACTTGCGACGTCACAGCGAAAAAAGGCGAAATTAATATATAAAAAAGAATTAAAAAAGGCGAGTTAATTACATATTTTGCACCTTAAGTTTAGTGGTTGTTTCACTTTCATCCTCTATTACCTTTTTTGTCCCAAATTAGCCACTAAATTTTTCAAAATGAGATTTAATATTAGACCACATTGACGTCATTTACGAAATTTGACATGATATTAACAGCTGATATAATTTGATTCAATCGAATTTTGGGTTGGAAAGCGTCATGGTATTTAAAAAATAGCCAAATATTATTATATCAAGTGATTAACAGTTGAAATAGAAAGATAGTTGTCATACAATTTTACTACAGATAACAAACAAATTAAACGAGACCGACTGATTTAGTTTTGATGAATCCGTTGTATTTTAACTAAAAAACCAACACCTAGACATAAGTTGTATGAGCACATACCATAAGATGGAGTACACTTTGGTGGTGAAAGTATACGAATTAACGAGTTGTAATTCAGAAAGTGATCATATACGTTTTTTAAGTCACTTTTTGTTTTTGTTAAACACGTATCCAAAAATTCGGAGACCCATTAGAAAGAAAATAAAAAAGTTCAAGGGCCAAAGTAAAAACTTCATAAATTTAAACGTAAGAAAATTAGAGGAAGAGAGAGAAAGAGAGGAGTGGGAGAGAGGTCGCCTTCCTCATTGCTTCAACGTTCCAACTCTCTGCAACCCCACACCTTATAAACTAATAGATATTCCCAATTCAATTTATTCCATTTTCCAATTACCCAATTTGCCCTCGCTCTTCGTCTCTCTACTGTCTTCTTCTTCTTCTTCTTCTTCTACCCCTCGAGCTGTTACATAGCACCCTGAGAAGAAGAGGCCTTCAAAGTTTCAGACTTTTGCATTCACTCGCATTAATTTTCAGGTAATTAACGACTCAATTATTAATTCTATTTATTTTTTTTCCATAATTGCATTGGGTTTTCTCTGTTTTTAATGGGTTCTGATTGTTTTTGCTTTTGCTTTTATGTATTAAGAACTTCACCATTTGTGGCAATAACCGTAGCTTTTGAATTTCGTTTTCTTCTGATATGATCTTTGCTTAAGTAAGTAATCTGGAGGTTTTTAAAAGAACCCAGTTTTTGGATTGGATTTGTTTGTTTGTTTATTTGACTGTTTCTGGGATGGCTACAAGATAAGCACGGTTTAGCATGTCTGTGACTGCTTCAGGAAGGGTTAAAAAACAAGTTCTTCAGACTGTGTATGGTTAAAAAGTGCTTATGGGTCATAGAAGCGCTTTCTGGCAGATGCTTCTTCAGGTTTTAATAAGTGTTTGGTGTATTGTACAGCAGCAGTCCCAAACGATGTTGTGCTTGTTTGTGAGTGCTTTCAAACGACTGAAAGTATTTTTGGTAAAAATATTTTTTAACCGATCTTTAGTAAAAATCCAAAAAGTACTTAAAGTGCTTCTTGCAAGAAGCACACAAGGACTTTTGAAACTCAAAAGCATTTTCTTTAAAAGCACATTCCTTCGTTT